GGAATATGGACCACTAGATTCCGACCCGGTGGTTCATTGGTAACGTGCTGGTCACAGAACCTGAAGGTCGCGGGTTCGGTCCCTGGCGGGGTCGTGGGTGCGCACTGCTGAGGAGCCCCATGCTAGGACGAAACAGCTGTCCAGTGCTCCCAGTTCTCCATTGTTCCTCTAACTGATATCAGTCTACGAAGAATAACAACTTGAAATTTATTTCCGTTGAATTCATCCTCTGCAACTTTACAAACATATCTAAATACACTTAGTGTACATAAAAATGTCAATGTTTGTTACTTAATCGGAGGCAATCATCAGAAATCTCTAAACCTAGATCCTGTGCTTGTCGGCACTCGTTAGTAAACCGTATTTTCAACCTCGACGGAACTGATGTGTCGTCTAAGATTCTAACTCATGCCACCCAGTTTTATAGTCAGCTAGGTAACCACTGAGCTGTTCGGGCCGTGACTGACCTCCTGTAGGACTAGAGTGGATACACTGATGGGTCACTGGAGGGTAGTCATTTTCTTGTTGTTTAGTCTTATGTGCTGACCGGATTCTATTGACCAGCACTGGGTGACAAGGGTTTGAATTTAAGGTGGAACATAAGTTCTGACGAGTTTTCAGATAAGCCTTACTGATGAGTGCCAGCAAGTACGAAACCTAGGTCCAGGGCTTCCCGCTTATTGCCTCCAACCAAGTGAAATCTACCAGTGTGCGCTGAGATTCTGAGCCTTCTAGCTTGGTGGCGACATTCCAAAAATGATGGGTAGAATTTGGTGTGCACTCAGGACTGGACAACATGTAATTGGTTGTTCTTCCATTACCACAGGGTGTTTCTGGGTTTCAGGTACTCCATAGAGACAAGGAATATTCGATTGAAAAGGTCTTAGTCTTTCAAATAACCCTAAGCTAATGAATGATTCATTTTACATCCTTTTCATAATTTCAGTCAGTTAACGTTCAATTGCCTCATGTACTTTTAATTTTGTTCGTTGATTTCGATAATCTGCTCTCACCTGAAAGAAATTTAGACATTTACTCCATATAATCTTTTCTTTATATCATGACAGTACCAGCACCTCGATCAGGACGAGTTTACTTTGCACTGCTGAAGTCTTGGGAATCCAACAATCGAAACAAAAATCGTTTATCCACAAGTGACTTAGCCATTCACTGTCCTGATTCCCTTTTTAGTTCTTAAACATTCCAGTCCATAACTCTTGGGTAATTTCCATTGCTGTATTATTCTAATGGCCACAAATCACCAAAAATTATTGAGTAACAAATACTGACATTTTTAAATACACTAACTATACTTAAAAATAATTATACTTAAAGCATAAACTGAATAAATATAAAGTTACATTTTCTTTCAACAAGTTATTTATGGGTTATAGTAGTGAATGAAGCCTTCTAACCAGTAATAAACAGACTTACTAATAAAGACTCAAAAGATTCCTTTTCTATTTCAGAATAATCAGGGTTGTTAGATCAAAGACTAATACACTGATCACATAACCTTGGATGGCTAAGTTTCGTGGATTCATTTTATCGATATACACTGCCTACAAATGAAGCAATACAAATATCCTGTTCACTGTAGAAGAGCAGCTATTTAGGGAAAGTGAAGTTGTAAGAAGTATTACATTTAGAAAAATATTCACAACGTTACCTGTGGATATGTTATCTGGATTCTTAGTTTACTGACTCGCGCGCGTGGTTTGAGAAACTGATGTAAATGTGGACTAGAATTAGTAGCTTATGTATTATTCGTATTGCAGCTTGTGCTCAAAATGTTACAGAGAAAATGACACAATCAAATCTCTACGATCATATTGGCAGGCTCAGAGAGAGGCAGCAGGACAAAACTAAGATGATCAATTTACAAATGATTTACAAATTGTACGAAGGAAAAGATCTTCCAGTATTTAGATCATGCTGATCCACCCGGAGAAATCTACAGGCCAACTTAAGTAGTTTCTAACTACTCTAGCCCTTCAGTAGTGGTATATTTCGCTGGTTCATGACACCATTGTATCAGAGATCATATATTGTGTTGTTGACTGTGGTTTCCAACCGGAACTCTGTTGACACCTGAGTCGTGTAGTTGGAAAACCATTTAGTTGTGAGAAATGTCAACGTGGATAGTGTAACTTACAAATCATTTGCAAATCAATCAGACTCCTTAAGGTATGGTATACTGGTGTATACAAATCAGCTAAGCAGATTCGGATGATCAGAAGTAATTCGCCTGAATGAAGTGAATGTTTTCTGGTAAACCACTGGTGAGTTCAGAAGCAAATGAGTGTAAACCACCGTCCGGTGTTTAGATCACTCTGACCTCGCCAGCGAAATCTACACATCAGCGTGAATGGTTTCTAACTACTCAAGTTCTTCAGTAGTAGTATATTTCGCAAGATGAAACTGCTTACTAAATAATCGGTCGGTTCCCTCAAAGCACAGATGTTGGTCAGATTACAAGTAAAAAACACAGACACTATTTCGCTGTACTCTTTGAGCAATATGTAGTGCGAACTGAAGCCTCATACAGCAACTGGATCGTGGTCACAAGTATGATCCACCAGATTATATATATATATATATATATATATATATATATATATATATATATATATATATATATATATATATATAATGTATAGACGGTCGCATTGGTTGTATTATACCGTCATTGATTGGACCAAATTGGTCGGTCTCTATTGGCTATGGGCTACTGCGCGGATGCGTCGATATTGCCTATGTTTTTAATTATGTGGTAATGATGGATAAGAGCTAGCAGTGGAATCTAGGATAGACATTTCCTCCTGTTTAGGACTTGTCACCCGAATGTACCTGCCTCCCATTGAATGATGTTGTCCTCACCGGGGTTCGAACTCGGAGCTGATTGGTTCAAACGCCAGTGCGTCATCCACATTACAAGCAATAGCAGTAAAACTATACCTGTCGCACAAGAAGTGGCTGTCGCAGCTTGGTGATCTAGTGGATAACGTTCTGAAGTTTGAATCGATCGGCAGCGTGTTTGAATCCCAGTGGAACAACATCACTTACTGGGAGGCAGATACATCCAGCTGCCGAGCCCCAAATAAGACGAAATGCTCATTCTGGATTCCACTGCTAGCCACTGTCAATCATTACTATGTAAGCTATCTTCCCAAAAGGAATGCTGCGTTTAACATGATCACATGTGTATAACAAAAGTCGATAGTATGCTCTTTATCTCCAGAATGTCTACATATTTACATTATTGAGTAGAAAGTTGCTGAGGACACAGTATGACGCTACATTAATCTTTTTCTTTCCCAGATAACAATACATACAGCTCCTCTACTTTCTCCCTTTCTTATTGACCCACTGTATGCTTAACCTCGTATTTAAATAGCATTTATTGGCCTCTGTGTATTGAAGCGTTCACTATAAAAGGTCACAGCTCAGAGAGCTCTAAGCCACCACTACCGTCATTCTGGGGTACAAATCTTTTCTACCATTTCAACCGTGTAATGTCTTACTCAAAATTCTAATCATATGAATTCACATAAAAGAAATGTATTAGAAAAATAATAATTCATGGCAAATTAAATCCCTCTATCATCATCCTTATTAGTGATGAAAACTGTGTAAACGTTGAACAAAAGTAGAGTTGACAACAATTCGAATTTCAACTCATTGGAACATAAGTCCATTACAGCTTTAACAGTACTAAAGGAATTGATACTGAGTAATGATTGAAGGTGAAATAGAAATCTGTGTTGCGGTAGGATTCGAAACCGGCAACTCCTGGGTTACGGATGCGGTGCTTTACCAATTAAGTTAAAAGAATCAGCTGGCGATCAGATCTTAATTATATTTCAATTACTAATTCTTTGGTTAAAAATAAATCCAAAGCTAAAGTCAAGAAATACAGTGAAAATAATTTCTCTTTACGCTGATTTTATTTTCAAAATCTGTATACTCATATGTATATATAAGTTGAGGTAGATAACAACTACTCTCATCTCCAAGTTTATTGAACTTAATCTGATCAGATGAAATGCTATCGATTCTCTCTGATCACATAAAAACAAAACTTTGTCTATATGCATACTTCACTATTGCAGTAAGCGGAAACGCGAAATGAATTACATGAATGAAGAGGATAATGTTTCATGAATTCGATAAATCATTTGAGAAAGTTTGGAGACTAAGGTTCAAGGATGCAAGATAGGAGACGAATGAATTAATGAACATGGTGTGATTTCATTGAAAAGTGGTCAGTTGAAGATTATATGAAACAATAGATATGAATAATAATCAGGAAAAATACGATGATAGGGACCAAGAGAAGTAAAACTGAGATGAATCGAAGCAGAATAAAATTAAAAATAAAATAAGCAGCAGATAGTAACACGAAACATGGTCAAAATGATAAATTATAGCTGCGTTTAAGGTAGCGAAACAGGATCGTACAAACTGTTTCTGCACACATGGTTCTCGTCTAAGATTAGATACCTACAAAGTTTCGGCATCACAAAGCAGGTGTATGCATGCAACTTTCCACAAATTTAATTTGACCTTGTAAATAATTTTAAAGGATGAATCAGTTACAGCATTGTTGTAATGGGCTACATGTTGGAGGATTGGTGAATTTCTGGTTCTAGGCTTCTCTTCGATCAGTCATACTGGTAGGCCAGGACTGTCGAATGAAACAGAAAACAAAGTGTTAAGGAAAAGCCATAATATACCTTAACACTTTTCAGCATAATAATAACTGGTAAACTGTAAGACTTAGGGAACTGACAAATCACTAATGAGCATATATTTTTCGAACCTGTTATTGGGAAAGGGTTTTCTAGAAATAATCTTAACAATGACCCTCCTATACATCATATTTAATATAGAATCCTTCAAATTAGAACAAGCACGTTTAGTTAACCATCTTTTAAGCAGGAAATTTTCGGTACCTCAATTGATTTATTGCAAAATATAAACATTGGTTTAGTTGACTTTTACTGTTGTATGTTTACTGTTTGACATGAGAAATTTTCATGATCTTCGATCTGAATTTCTGTTTCAAATGCATTGCTTTCAAGATCTGTTGGTGTCTTATGCTTAGTAAAATGTTGGCATTGACTGAAACATTTTAATAGTATGTCGACGATTGAATTCGGCAGCCAAAAGCTACACAAAACAATCTGCATACCAATCAGCGTGAATAATGCCAATATGGCTGGTAAAAGTAGAAATCGATATTCTTTCCAATCTGTTCCGTCTGGTTTATACAAATCAGTATTCGGATATTGAGATGAAGAATTTGGTGGAAAGTTTATATTCCCTTTGGTAAAATTATACGAAGAGGCTCTATTTAATTCATTGTTTACTAGAAAATTTTTGAAAAGAACAAAAGTAAGAATAATTAATTTTTGAAAGTCACTAGAGGAGATTTTCAGTAGTCTTTCATTGCAAAGAAAATCGTCGTGTTCACATTTATTGAAAAATAAAAAGAGGCTACAACGAAGATAACTATCTTCCCGACGACTCACTTAACACCTGTACATTCTTAAATATGCAAGTGAAATGATAGAATGTTTCAGACAAGTTTCTGGTAAATGTTCGAACTTAATAGAAAAATGTTTCCAGGGAGTGAAATGATATTACGCAACACAATATCATGATCTCAATAGATTTTATCAAGCGCATTGTTCGTTAAGGTTTGATATCTGGTCGAAATGTATAAATAAAGGTGAACGCGTCTTAGACCCTAGGCATCTGTTGCCTTCGAAAGCCTCGTTCGAAGTTTTCTAGAAACTCTAACCCAATCAAACTTATGTACATTCGGAGCTTTAAAAATCTACGGCTTCTGAGTTCAATTGTGCATACAACAGAAAAATATACAGACACTCATTTTACCGCGGCCTTAACGTGATGCTCTGTGCCTCTACTTATGTCTTGTTTTTGTAATTTATTTATTAATTTATATATATTTATACTGAGTTGTGATTGAAGGTGAATTGAAAACTTGGTCCACGGTAGGATTCGAACCAGCGACCAGTCGGTTTATGTTTATCTATCTATTTGTTTTTACCAGATATTAAATCTCACTGTACAATATATTTTATAAAAACTACTGGGATTATGTCACTATGTTGCGTAATATCTCACTCATTGTATACTTCCATCGATTAGGTCTGACCTTTGACCGAGAACTTGTCTGGAATATTCTATCAACTTATTTGCATATTTACGAATGTACATGTATGAAAATAAGTCATCGAAAAGAGAATTACCTTTGCTGTAACCTCTTTATTGTTTTTCAGTGACCAAATGGGTTTTCCTCTTTGCTTAAACATTTATTTCTGATAACTGTCTTTAGTGAACATACGAATCTCTAACCATTGATAACCACGCAGAGAAATTCCTCTGAAATCGAACTACTCCCTGAAAAGGAATTAGTCAAGTTTTAACAAATGTACTGTCTTGATAAAAAAAGGGTTTGGTGCAAAAAATCCTTATTGTTCATCGATTTCAGTCTAAAAAGCTGTAAAAACCAGCCAACAGATTCAGCAACTTGACAGCAAATATAACATTTTCTGACTTTAATTTCCTTCTCGGTATTTTGTATTCAAAGTTGTATTACTATGAAAATGGTTGACACTAGGTACTCAATTTTTAATGTCAAGCAAAACTCGTATACATGATAGCTTATTGGTGTTTGGACGTAGAGGTAACGCTATAGACATCTACATTAGGGTGATACAGTATTATTTACTCGATAACGTTCGGAGCACAAATTATTACCCATAATCATATCAATGTAATCATACTACTTTCGACACCTGAATTTTCTAGTCCTGTCACCCACCTCATATTCTTTGTTTTTATCGGTAGTAAAATTCTTCATATCTCTGACGTAGGTGTTGCATCATCCCTCTTATGTATGTTAGGTGAAAATTCAATGAAAAAACATTCATTTATAAATCTCTTCCTCTCCACTTTTAATTATACTAGACTTGAACTCATTGGTTTTATCCCACCCTATTGTATGATTGTGTGTTAACGCATGCATTGCACTAACAGAGTTACTTTCTAGATTATTTATCTTATTCGGTTCTGTCATTCCATATTTAGCTAAACTCCTATGTTTTGATAATCTAGCTGACTCCAACCGACCCCGATTATTTTGTTCATTTGGTTCTATCAGATCCTTAAGCCGATAAATCTTATCTCTGAGAGAGTTTGCAGGTTTAAATACCACCCTAATTCTAGCCTTGCTGAGAATCCTAAGTAAATTTTCTGATATTCATTCCATTTAATGAAACACAATAAAGGCTTTGAACCCCCAACTTGTAGTAACGTTATCATTTGTACTCGTATTACTGTTATTGTTTCATTTCTTATGTGTTCGTACAAATTTCTTAATAAACCGTAGAGGATACTTATTAATTAATAACGCTTCCTTTATATGCTGAAATTTAAACCTACAAACTCACTCAGAGATAAGATTCGTCGGCTTAAGGATCCGATAGAACCAATTAAACAAAATAGTTTAATCTGGCGAATTCTACGCAATGACTACGAGGTCAAGTATACAGGTCAAACTAACCGGTCGGAGTCAGATGGATAACTGAACATACGAATTTAGTTAAATATAGAATGACAGACTGGAATAAGATCAATTATCTTGAAATTTAATCAGCTATTGAGATGCATGCATTAGCATACAACAACAGGATTTATGAGGAAATTACTGATTTAAAGTTGATATTTGTCGCGGATGGACATCATTTGGAGGACCACTGAAAACCATTGAACACTGAACAACTGTTTCGTCTTAGCGTATCCCCAACTGACCGTAGTGGGAAAATGCAGATAGTTAGATTCCTACCTGGATCGTAACATCTTCACTATGAGACCTGTAGGTCTTGAGTTCGATGTCTGGAGAGGTCATAGGTGCGTACTGGTGAGAAGTCCCATACTTCGACGAAACTGTTGTGCATTGCTCTCAAGTTATCAGTGATTCTTCAGCTGATGTCAGTCTGTGATGAGTACCAATTTGAGGTTTTGTTCCTCTTTCATTTTAAAATATCATTCTCATCTAGTCATTTTATCTATAAATTAAGCAAAATTTCTGCTTTTATAGAGTCCATAGGAAATCCCAAGGATGAGTAAAAGATCTGTAAATACACCCTACAATTGAAGATGTATTGTTGTCACGATTTATTTCAGTATACACACGGTTATAAGTAACCCACAGTATCTCCTAGCTGTCTCAGTATGATACAACCCTCACATACGAGGAAAAATGTCGGTGTAAACATTCGGAAATGGTACACACTGAGACACTCTTTCTTATATGTTATGCTCAATTTCAGAATATGCTGATCTGTGAGTGTCACACATACACACACACATACATACACAAATACTTCGTCACCAATACTGATTCCTCATGTAATGAACCTATATGTTCTTACAAATGTGTTTACATTACTGTTATTTCGATTTCTGTGAGTAATATATACTATATGTTCTTAGAAAACTTATCTTCAGTGAGAAAAATAATGAACAGATATAGGTTATATTTGTATAAATCTTAACTTGTTGGAAGGTATCAAAAAGGAGTTTGGTCCAAACTTCTTAAGGGAAATAATCAAAATTAAAACACAAAATTTGCATAAGTGTAGTAGTAAATGATTCTCCAAAATTGATAGCCTTGGGTTCAATGTGATTCAATGAAGATCGTGACCTTCATGGTTTCAATGGAATGGTACACGTTATTTGGCAAACTGTCATGTCACATTACGCAGCTTGTACTCCAGCCCTTGGCTAGTCAGTCCATAGGTCTCGATATTTTGATATGGTCTATCAAACATACCATTCCTGCTCGGCTACTCTATGTGTTCTTTCTTGGTCTCTAACTCTTGTGTATTGTACAAGTCCAAAGAATTAATGATTGGTCACTGAGTGCATCAAGTTCGGGTTAAAATAATTCCTAAATAACCCATGCAGAATGTCAACTTCCCGTTTAATAGCCAATAAAGACGACTATATTCGGTTGTATCCTAATTATGCTGTAGATAAATGAAAGTTTAATTCTTTTATAGTATTCCTATATTGACTATTTGACACAAATATCTTCACCTAAGTGCACAAGTTTGAAACGGTGGAACTGTTTTAGTCGGTGATTTTTAAGCTATCTTACAATAATACATTTGTGTATTTATGCTCTGATGATCCTGAATGATATATCATCGGGAATCTATAAGGATTTCGTAATCTGATTACATGATATCCTCTGAGTAAGCTTTTTGACCGGGTAGGCTGATTGAAAAATAACACATTTTATTGAGAATCATCTGTAAAGTGCCTAAGGATAAAAACATGTAAATATGAAAGTGGTTTGGATTACAAGTGATTCATACAGCTCTTCACAGTGTATGAGCATTCCATTTTGAGTAAATAGATGGAAATTCCATTGCTGTTGACCGAGAAATATATCTAAATTGGACTTCATTCCAGTCTGTTCGACACTTCAGAATTAACATCTTTCATCCTTTGTTTTACAGCTCCAGATGAACTGCTATTGCCCATTCAGAAAGATATCCTCGTGCAAGTGAGAAAGCTCCACTTCAGTAGCCAACAAATGTTGTAAATTTCTTTCTATGAGGAATACTTACTGGCTCATAACCTTTGTCATATACACCATGCTAGAATTCCCTACTTTCTTAAGATAGAAGGATATCAAATTACCTATTAAGTCACAAAGTGTTGTTAGATAACATTAGTGACTAGTTTACGATACAGGAAAAAAAGTAAATATAATGATACGACTACATTGAAAAGGAAGGTTGCAAATAGGCAAAGAGGCGACACTGAGTAAACAGTATGTTGCAGACACCAACGTTTTAACTCACATTTCAGAGAAGGGGATGACGAAGGATCGGTTATTGCTGAGGAAGAATACGTTGTGTTATCACTGGCTAGTGTGGCACTTAAACGAAAATTATTTTGTTGACATATAACAGACTGGGCTACAACAGTGTGAAAAAGAGAGAGTAATATGAGATTAACCAAGTGAAAGGAGGTAAATATCTCGAAATCAATTATCTAGGAAGAAAATGTTGTTTCAGTTTGGAGGTTTGTGAGGATTTTATTGGTTTCAAGTTGGTACTTATCAGTTGGAGAACCAATGAAAACCTGAAAGTATTGTACGGCTGTTTTGTCCTACTATTTGGCTATTCAGCGCAGAGCACCTATGACTGATAGAAGCAGGAAACTGTGGGTCACTGGACTTCCACTTAGCAGTGCAATGGTGCTGAACTGGCTGTGGAACCTGGGGGTCTTGGATCCGATCTTTGGTGGAGTCGCTGGCGAGCACTGCTGGAAAGTTTCATACAGGGGTGCAATATCTGCACAATGGTCCTCCAAACGATGCTAGTTCATGATGAATGCCAAATCCAAAACCCTATTTGCCTAGTGTTGTTTGATTACTGCTTATGTTTAACACACGCTTGAAATATAGAAGCTTTAATTGTTGAACAATCATTGTCTGGGTCACACTCATCGATAAATATTTTCATATGGCCTTGCACTTTTAAGCTGATTCCCTTTAAATGGTAAAGTAAGCTTGATAGCTTCAGAAAATCAACACACGGTTAACTAAAGTCTTATTTATCTTCCCTAGTAAAAATGAACGTGGAACACATGTTATTTTCTTAGCGTTTTAGATCTAAAGGATAAAACAACGCTGTCAAGACTTCATTGCTTGGAAAACAATTCACTTCAGTTATTAAGTACTTGGTATATTGTAGAAATGCAAACACTGTTTCCAATTCAGTTTCTTTGTCTAGGTGTTCATTGCAAACGACCACTGTTATAACCACAAGTACTTCTGATTCAAGGTACTTCAGCGTTTTTATATCTCATGCTGGCAGACTCTTCACATAGTGTCTGCATGTAGATTCAGTTAAAGTAGTGGTGAGAAAAACAAGTAAGTTTCAGTTAGTTGGAGGCAATCGACAACAAACCGTCATCAAATTGAACCGTGACGGTTAGGTTCTAAGCCCAGTGACCACATTGCAAAATGATTGATAGAACTCACTGAATATAGAGGACTAGACAACATGAAACTAACTCCTTTTCAGTGAACAACCAATTTAAGAACAACTACTTCGTGAATGGGCAATAAACTGTAGGAAATATTTTTGTGCTGTATAGTATAGTTTCCAAATTATTCAAGAGAGTGAAAACTAACCTTGTTCAAGAGATTCTTTCGTTTTCATGTCAAATGAGTGAATTCACAATAACATTCAGTGTCCAAGAGTAAACAATTGGTGTCACCCAGAACTGTATTTGTTTGAAAAATGAGTACTAAACATTTTACATTTCTGAACTACTTAGACGAAAAAAATCCATCAGGTTGGTGGAACACACAATGACAATTTGAATCCTAGCACTTACCTACGAAATGTATTGGTGAATTGTGACGAAAAATTGGAAGTGACACAATTTCCGGGAACTGACTAACTTTCAACACAAATTCTTTGACTGATTTGTTGTCAAAACAATCCAACAGCTTGACAACTTTGATTTGCAATGTTTCCTGGCATTTCAGCTGTACCCGATGGTCGTCTGTCTGTTAAGTAGGCCAAAAGTGAATACATAAACATTGTTAATTCAATAATTGTTTTTTCACAACTAAAAACATATTTTGCAGTTTCTGTAAACATTATATATATATATATATATATATATATATATATATATATATATATAAGTTTTAATATAGTCCCAAAAATTTTTAGTTTACTTGATGGGTAGCAGTAGGATCCAGGACAATCGATTCATCTGGCCTGAATCTCGTCAGCTGGATGTCCCTTCACCTCAATGAATGAAAATCGAACCCAGTACTTAGAGCTCCAAGCAGGAAGGCTTTGTTTACTGGGCGAGAGAGACACCTATTGTGCAACGGGTGTCAGTTATTTATTCATATCTGTCATTTCCTGTTTTTTTACTGGATAGAATTGATCGACCTCTGTTGAAATATGTGCAGCCATACGGATGCCTCGTTATTACCTGAATATTCATTGTTAAAACTTACTTGGTGATGTTTAGTAGAGAGATCCAGGATGTGCGTTGCGTCTTATTTTAGACTTGTCAGCGGCTTAGTTGATAACGCCTTGGTGTTTGAAACGGCGGGTGCTGGGTTCGAGTCTGAGTGGGAACAGAATCACTCACTGAGGTGAAGGTAAATTTAGCTAACAAGTGTCAAACAGGGGAGAAACATGTGGCCTGGGTTTTACTCCTAATAACAAACAAGTAAACTACAACACGAAGACTATTCAGGCACTGTTGAGGTACTCTCATCGGATCCCATCTGTCCACAGAGGTCGATCAGTTCAACTCAGTTTGGCAACGATAAATTAAAACTACTAATAAATAATAGTCCTAGAGTGTTAAGGAAATTAAAACAACATTTTTCTCAACGTTTCTTTGTGTATCCCATGGCTTATTAAGCAGAATATGAATATAAATATATGTCTAGAGCTGGTTAACCAAGGAAGGAAGCAATTACAAAATATTCAACGCCTATGATATCTATTTCCAAGTAGAGAAAGACATTTCGAAAGTGATAACTCTGAAAGTCTGGATCAATTCTACTTTTTTGTGAAACATGTCTTACACAAAACATTATTCCTAAACAACATTCTCATCAATCCACATAAAACTAACTCGCGTATTCAATAATTTATTAAAATCACACAAACCTGAAGTATAATCCTGAATGTGTCTTATAGCCAAAACTGAATTCTAAAGGTCCTTCGTTTCGTTGCAAGTATGCACCCTATAGTTATGGTCATACTGGTGTGGTCCAATGGTAATCTGCTCCTCATAGAACCTAAAGTTCGAGGTTCAATTTCTGGTAAGATAATGGGTGCACACTGCTCAGAAATCCTAAATGTGGACAAAATAGCTGTCCAGCGCTCCTAGTCTTTCAATGGCTCTCCAATTATTTTCATTTCATGATGAATACCAACTCGTTTTAAATATGTTGAAATCAAAATAAACAAACAACGAAGGTTTAATTCGTTTTTACCTTGACGAGTTTAAATTTAAGTAGCCTGGACTAAGTGGAGGCGAAAGTACGTGACCAACTCAGACGTCCATCGCAACTAATATAAGTATTTTTTTCGGTGATACGCTACATAGATTTATCTCATACTTCTATTGTGTATCACCAATTGATGCGATTAGAGTGAAATTATTTGCTTTATATTTAACAGTACCTCATGAAGTCTTTTACAGCTGAAGAAGTGTTCTCTGACAAACTTTGATATTAATGTGATCAAACACACCAATTTTTAGGCAAATAAATATTCATGGGAATCATCTAAAAACTGCTGTGGAGTCATCACAAATCAGGGAGTTTCAAAAGCGGTTAAAAGCTTATTTGATGCGAAAATATTTATTCATTTTATGTTCAAAGTAGTGATACCTATAACAGAATAAAACTAAATAAATAGTTAGATATATTGGAATCAGGGCATCTGTACTGTCTCTACTATAGACAAGGTTAGATTAGAATTGTTTCATATAATCAGTTGTAGATCAATAGAAAAACATATTTTTCTATCTCTGAACAAAGGTTAGCTTACTACAAGACTACAATTCGTTATTTCATAAAGTTTCCTCGGGAAAAAACAAGCAAGAAAGATGACAGTGACTTTTCCATTTGGTTTTGTTAATGAAACCGACAAGCTTACACTTTTTTATTTGTGTCATATGGTGACATTTTATTCATGAGTACAAGTAATTATCGAAAGTTTTCTCTTTTATGAACACTAACAGAAAATGAAAAGCGAAACTCTTAGACAATGAATTCTTAAATCCACTGTTTTAAAGCAATAAATCTACTAATCACAATTTCTTTTTATAAAAAATAATTGAAAACAAAAGCGAGAAAATGCAAGGATATCAATAAATGAGATAGGTGAGAATTTGATTTCAAGTTAGTGTTCATATCACAGACTGACCAATATCGGTTGGAGAAACACCGAAAACATAGAAGCCCCGGACATTCGTTTCATCCTAGTATGGGACTCCTCAGTAGTGCCCACCCATGAAAAAGCCAAGGACCGAAATCAGGACCCTTAGGTCTCGAGATGAGCAGGTTACCACTAAGTCAATGAGTCGGATTCCAATAGTCCAAATTTTCATACTTCCTGGTGTCATTCTACGACATAGAGTGACCCTTACCCGACACCGTCGTTGAGTACCTATTCTCGCGTTTGATTTCGTCGACCCCATCACCCACCACTTCTCACTAGAACTTCTGAAAATCTCATCTCAACGCAAGTCACTGATGGGCACTAAGCAGCAGTTCAATTTGGAGGTTTGTTTACGGCTTCAAATCTTCTTCGCACATAACTATGATCAGAAAGGAAAAACAGGGCCTTGTATGACAATGCAGGTTTCGTGTTTATCGGCACTTGTTATTAAGGCATGTCTGAAACCTCGACCAAACCGACCTCCCACCTAGGACTCGGACCGTTTCCAACCAGATTTGTAGTCACAGAAGTTATTACTGAGCTATCCAAACTTCGTCCGTCCATTTACATAAAATCAGCTAAATGTCATTCATGTGAAGTTAATCGAACCGAAAAGGCACTGAAACATATATCTCATCGTTTCTATTTATAAATGTACTGAAGTTATGGGTACTGGGCGATGATTTATGAGAACTGTACTCCTCTTTTAGTCTGGATATAAACACAGAAATATTTTCAAAAGTTGGCAGCTTACGTTGAACTGACTATCATTTCAGTTGATTATACAATTAACAACTCACATTCAATATTTTAGTGTTTCATTCTCATCTTATAATCCTGGAACTTCTTGCACAATGCTATCATCGAATGCCTAAGGACTCTGACAATGAAAATAACAATACCTTGTGGAAGAAATATCAGCGGCAGATATTTAGTTTTAGTAGTTGAAAATCATAATTTCTAAATATTCTTGCATAAACATTCTTACATATAATAAACTCCAGGTCAAGCAATAACACAAAACTCCAGGTCACTTGCAATTAGCTAACTTCATTTTATCACTAAGTTGAACATTTGAGTCTAATTAATCTTATAATACCAACAGATATCAGTATTGGTACTGGGTGATGGTTAAAGATGAAATAAAAATTTTAACCATGGTGTGATTCGAACAAGCGATAACCGGGTTTTCTGCCAGGAGTACTACCAACTGAGCTACAAGGTCCATCTGTAGACCAGATTTTATTTCACTTCATATCAGTAAACTAAGTTCTATGTGTGCAATTCTGTGGTTATGGAAGTAACTTCGCTCAGTTTACTCTTCTATTGGTCATTTCCTTCTTCTTATTGTACTAGGAGGTGTTATATTTAATTTCAAGACATCTGCTGATATTCAGTGAATTTGTAAATACTTCTTCGAATTGTAATAAGTTTGCGAATCTTGAGAAATAATGTACTCATTACAGATGGGATTATGTTCAGCAGTTGTATCTGTAAGTACTTATGTTGCTGGACTTTTAAGTGTATGTGCTGACATAAGCTAAAGACTAAATCAATCTATGACATTCACTAACATCAATATTTCTTGAAATCACTACCAATGACCTATAAAGTTTTACGTGTCATAGATGATAGTGATTTCGTGGATTTAATGTGATAGGGGAACTTTAAAAGATTTTTATGTCACACAATAGCCAAATAGTGTGTATCCGGATATGACAGTGAAAGCCTTTAAAAGGCTTGAAATGAAAAAATGATTTTGCACAAATTTTAGAAAGAAAAGGAAATCCTTTGACAGCTTTATGCTATCGAACGGAGACGAATCATTCAACACCGCTAAATCTGGTTAGCTGGATTTCGGTATAATCATATACCATTAAATGGGATAAATAATTCACAAACTGTTTAAAAGCTGCATGGTGCACACTGACAAGCCCTACAGCTAAGCACACAGTTTCTGTAAGAAACCATCTATTTAAGGTTTCAAAGTGTAAAGAACTACTAAATTATACTACTGGGCAGAATGAGTAATCAGAAACCGCACACACTATTTCATCAAGTTAGGTAGTCTAGTCAGAATGTTATAGATACTAAGCAACCATTTCACTCATTTGATACCAAAGGCTGTGTTTTAATGGTTTATGTGAATCAACTAGGTAGTATCACTTGGTGAGAACATTTCGAGCTACCTGAAGTGAATTTGTCGGGATACATCACTGATGAGCTGCCTCAGTCCTGAACAAGTGAAATGGCCATTCAGTGTCTAGTTCTTTCTGACTTTTCTAGTCATAATACAGATCAGCGTGAGTGGTTCTTAACTACTATTGTTAGACAGTAGTATGTTTCGTGACTTCGTGACCCTCTTTTGTCCAAGATAACACTTCAGCCCTTTGGCTGGATTTTTTTAACAGAGACTCTGCTCAAACAGCTAGGCAGTTTTTCTCAACGGTGAGAAATGTCAATGGGACCATGCTTTTTGTCATCATTTTTCAAATTGATTATTCAATCTTTTCAAGTTGTAACAAATTCATGAATCTGATTGCCAGTGTACTCGTCAAGAACACTTTCTGAAACGAAATTTTATCACAGTGTTTTTCAGGGAAATTCTGCTGTGTGATACTATATTCCTCAAAAATGAACTGTTTTTTTACCAAATATATGACTATTGCTTCAACGAGTGCTTTTTATTTTGTTTTAAACTTCAAATAACTATAAAAGTCTACTCATTTGATCACTACCTCTGAATCTTAAGTTCTCTTTCCCTTCATTTCCACAACCGGGTGAGAATATGATATTTTACCCTAGAATGTCCGCCGTTCCGGCAGTTTGGTAAACCTCAACATATACCATGATTATGCTGAATTCTAACTTGAAATAAACAACCCCCCACGAACCTCATATTGAATAAGAATTTGTGCATCAGAAAAATACACTTCATCTATATTTTGTTCATTTTACCCTGTACTCTCTATGTTATCTTAACAATATTTTTACCAATAGGATCTTATGTAAATTCTGTTTGAGGTGTAAGATAATTACTGCTGTAGTCTACTTAGTGGCTAGCAGTGGAATAAGGACACGAGTTTCACCCAGCTTTCAACTCTTCAATTGGGTGTACCTCCACTCTAGTGAGTAATGTTGTTCCCAGTGAGACCCGGACCTAGAGCAAATCGTATTAGAAGCCAAGGCATTAAATGCCATGCCACTGAGGCAAGAAGGTTACCTGATTGGTCATTTCAACAACTTACTCTCAAGGGTATCACAGAACTGCTCCACAGTTACTTACCAGGGCGTCAACGTGAAGAAACTATTCAAAACGGGGTTAAGTGGTGCTGGGTTTTTGTAGCTGGCTTGCGAAAGCTAGGGGTGTTTCATGCACCGTTGATTATGAGTCAAGAATTTTTGCGTACACTAGTAAGCCTCGTTGTGGCCCCGTGAATATCAACTGATACACGAACAAGGTGACTTCGCAAAAACTGAAGTCGACAAGATTCATATCCTCAAGATCAGTGGAGTTGGTCTACAGGGCACAGGAGCTTTTGTAAGCAGTCAGAATTCCTCCTAATTCGCTGGGATCAATGCGGCTGAAAGGCAAGGTAAATCCAGCTTCCTCATTCCGGTAGCCACTGTTATTGAATCAATCCTCAGACACAGATTTGGCTCACCTTACGAAGACGAGTGATATTCGATCCAGAATGTCAGCATCGTTAGTCACAACCTCAGATGTAAGTCACTGGACTGAGGAGAGTCACCACTGTGAATCCGTCGACATTATGGGTTCACACTAAAGGCCTTCTAGAGGAATGTCGTTTCGGAATGGTGAGCTACACCTAGCTCTGTAAGGTTATGAAGACTTGAGTGAGGGACTCTTCATCCACATCTGCTCACGGGAAGGTTAGTATGGTCAAAGAAGCGATTACTTGGCGAATGTGTAAGCACTGAAGCCTGACATTTGGGAGGGTTCAGCGGTAACACTGATCAGTTTGAGGGGGATTAACAGAATGCTGTGGCAGAAGTGTCCATTTACATATGGATAGGCTGCTTGTATGCTTAGTGCTTGGCAAAAAGACCGATCCATCAGGTTTTTACTGGAAAGTCGACAGATCTGAAGATCGACCTGGAACTTTGAAGTTAACCGACAATTAGAGTGGAACACCAAGTTAATATTTTCCCTGAAAAATAGTTAAAATATGCCTTAGGATATATGTACCTTACCGATATGACACAAACAATCATCCTGACCTTCATGTAAAGAATCTTAACTCATTGTTAATCTGATCAACTTAATGTTTAATAGTGTCCGTAGATATTTTTCCGTTTGCCCTTGTAGAATTTTATAGTTCAAATGGTGACTACTATACCTTAGTGTTATTATCATGTCAATACTAACAACACAGACATACCTAGCTGATAACTAATTTAGCTTAAGGATAGTATACTTTACAGAAGATAACTGATATGTTAAAAAATGACCAAAGTGCATATACAGGCTGCAGTCCATTTGGAAGTAACTATGATTTTCGAAACCAAATGTAGCATCAGTTAGCTCAAATTAATTCAGTCCTTCATCTAGTCTTCCAGATGTTACAAAGAGTGAGGTATTTCGCTTCAATGACCACTGGATATTGAGCTGTGATGTTTTGGGGAATTCTGGCTGAGATATGGTCGCAAACGGTCAACCCCTACGTAGTTCCTGCTGATAAGCAACTAGGGGATCTCACCAAATATCTGGGTAGTGAATGTCTCTTGACGCATGCAAGGAATGCGAATACTTTAAACCTAGTTTTGGTAGTCAGACATAACGATGGGAGCTAATTAACTGTCAACAGTTGATCCTGTGCCCACGTTCTATTGATAGATCCCGGAATAGTCGTATTGAATAAGAGTGCGGATCACTGACTACGGTCGCAATCTTTCTGTTTTTGCTGTCTTGCCGTGGAATATGAAGCAATATGACCGAACTGATCGGTTTCTACTGGCATATAGGCTTCTATGCGCGTTCTAGATTCCACTCTTATTCACTACTGATCATTAGCATACTGGTATCCATTTACCAATTAAATGAATGCTTAGCCAACGGCGCACATTTAGCCGTCTTCGGTTGGATAGTTGGTTCTACTGGTGACTCTGATGGCTGCGTTATTTTTGAGTAACAAAATAGTACGGAAAAGTTGGGATGGCTGGCGTGTTCTACATATCCAGTATTTATGGGCTCCAGGTTCACTCTTAATCTCTGGAGGAGTACTGGGGCTTTATACTCCTATCAATGTGTGGATTTTAAGCTACTACTGCCCTATCAAGTTGATGTGAATGATGAGGTTCCGCACATGTCTGGGGGAAAGTACAATATGTCTCAGTACTTTAATCTGGCTAAAGTTGCATGACATGACGAACCCCCTTAAGCAAACGATTCGGACCTGGGAATCACATCTTGCACTCAGGCTACCGCCTTGGCTTAGTGTGGACTTAAGAGGTGTCCTGGTTAGACCAAGACTTCCTATCCATTTCGAGAAGACAGGATGCCTTCACAATGCCATACGGGTGGTGAGCGATGTTCGGGAGCTAACAAAGCAATCCACTTGGGTTCATATTCGGCAGTCGAGGATAATGGTATCTCCAGTAGTTCTTTTGATATGGTGAGCGAAAGATCTCCGAAGACGCCCAAGAAGGTAAATCAAGGTGTATGGTGCTTGTCAGCTCAAGGGCGTGCTAGAATGTCTCTGTTGCGCACGTGTCCTGGGTGGGTGTACCCCATGCTTGTATGGGAGGCTACAGGAGACGTTCTTAAGTAAGTGGGCGACTCACCAACCCAACCGTTGTGCGTTTTGCTTGAGGTCACAAGCCGTCACACGTTATATTCTGCTCCTGCCAGTAGTCCTCCGCTGCACGGAATAGAGGTAAAGTTTTGGTTCCATTCAAATACTTCATCTAATTGTTGACACGGGTACTTTTAGCTGCTGGTCGAATGCCTAGCTAACAGTGCACATTCAATCATCTTCATTTGGACAGTTGGCTTCCCAGTAATTTTGCAGTGAAGTCGAAAAGTCAACTATTTTACTCAATCTATAAGTATATAAGAATAGCATATGATTACACTTACCCAATATAGATTTTGTGAGAAGGTTCTGTTTGATGGGCAAATAAAAATCAGATTATCACCTTCGTTGACGTAAATCTGATTTCTGTTCCCTTTAAACCTTAAAAGCAAAGTAAAGTACCATATACAAAGCATGCCTAGAGTTGGACAATAATAGATTCTTAATTTCAAAACAAAGGGACTAAAATAACCCTAGTAAGGATATAGATTCTCAGAAACAAATTGATAACGAAGTTCTCTAAACGATTACCCTGTCCGATAAAATGAAATGGGCTGTGAATAAAAAATGTTAGTACAAATCGAAAGAAAAAAGAAATATGAGATAGCTCTGGTTTAACATAATCATATTAGTAACATTGAGTGGCAGTTGAAAGAGAAATCTGTGCCACTACAAGATCCGAACCAATCGCCTTCAAATTCCCGTTTCGGTGCTCTACCAACTGAATTCACAAAGTCACATGGCAGTCGTGAAAAACCCTTGGTGATTGAAGTGAAAGTAAGATCTGGTCAACAGCTGAATCTTGTAGGTCAGTTGGTAGAGCACTGGGTCAGGAACTCTAAGGTCTCTGAATAGAACTCTGACAGGACCGAGATTTTCATTTCACCTTCAATGTTAAGTAGAAGATGTTGTCAGCTGTAATCATGTTGTCAAAGTTGTTCGGTCAAGCAAGTTTTTACACAGACAACCAGTTTAGCTGTTAAAAAATATGCGTAATTTTTTAAAACGATAGTAAAGTATATCATTTGACTACCTAAGATAGCCGTAGTTTGGCAGACTAGTATTTATACTGGGTGATGAATGAAGGTGAGATGAAAATCTGGACAGCGGCCGGATTCGAACCAGTGACCACTATGCTAGGACCCGGCTGTCGCTGGTTCGAATCCGGTCGCGGTCCAGATTTTCATCTCACCTTCATTCATCACCCAGTATAAATACGGTATATGTTTCATAAAGTTAGTCTTATTCACATAGTCAGAAGGAGTAATACTCATAGGTTTCTATGACATTCCCACAGTGAATAGACGCATCTCCTGTAAAAATGCAAGGGAGACATTCAATCAAATAATCGATACATGGTTACACTGACTGTAAGAATTATGTGTACTTACTGATTCTCTGCGAACAACTGCATAATTTTCCGAAGATTTTCATCCTCATCGTCATCATTAGTATCAACATAGGACCAGGCATTACTGAGTAACAGGGATTCACGTTGCCACATCTCATATAAGCACATCAAATAATAACCCAATAAGATTAAAGATGAAGAAAGAAATAGAAATCAGTCAGAAGTAGTAGAAAGCCATGAAAGAGAGGTAGAAGGAATAAGAAAACGCTGAATTCAGTACAGCGGCTAAGATGAAGATAGTGTGTGGATACATCTGCGATGACAAGTTATAACTCAAAGGAATTAAATATATCACAGAATCGTATAATGCCACAAAAATATTATTTGTTTTTCCGACATTTAAGTATTGTAAACAAGTTTCTGTAATCTGTTTAGTGTATCTTGTTAAGAGTAGCGCCGGTACAGTAAACACGTCTACAAACCTAAATGATATGAAAATGAGTAATTCCAATATCTTTGAATTATTTACCTGTGCGAAATACTTGCACTGTTACATTTTACTGTGTTAAAAAGCTTTCTGATCACCTCTGAATGTTACTCAAATAAAAAAATTTTCAATTCAGCAAGTGTATTCAATCTAACTATGGACTTGATATTATCCAATCAAGCAATTATACGCGCATGCTATCCCATATATGATTTTGTACAACTAAATCCTTGTTCATAGGGTAGTATATAAACTGAAATAATTGAATTACGGTTAAAGCATGAGTGATTTTGAAAAAGAATCTATTATGCTCTTCAAAAGTAATTAGAATAGATTCAAATATAGATAAAAAGTCTTTTAATCATCTCTAAAAAGCTCCTCAAACGGAGCTTTTACAGAAGACAATGCTAGAAACGATGTTTTATCGAATAAATTATTCGATATAGAAGCTTATGGGGATTTTATTTATTTCAGGTTGGCATTCATCATGGAATGACACCAGTGGCAGAAACAGTGGAAATCTGGGAGTACTGGACAGCTATTTCCTTCTAGTATGGTACTACTTAGCAGTGCGTACTCTTGACCCCTCCAGAGCCAGGACCTACAGGTTCCGTGGACAGTAACTTGCCATTGAGCCACTGGGTTGGATATGAGTACAGCAACTCAACGACGGAAATGGATAGAGGTAACGCTAAATCGTGAACTGACAGCAGTAGTAATCATAAACCATTGGATTCCAAACCAAAACTCAATGGTAAAGTTAGGGCCGCCGAACCTGGAGGTCTTGGGTTTGGTCCCTGGAAGGGTCACGAGTGCGCACTGCCGAGAGGTACCATACTAGGACGAAACAGCCGTCCAGTGCCTTCAGATTCCCAGCGTTTCTCCCACTGATGTTATTCCATGATTAATACAAACCTGAAATAAAATATTCGATTGTTTATTTCGAAAGCAAGTATAATTCTTAAAGCAGAACACTGAAAATAAATTCTTGAGTGTGTCCAAACTAAAGTGCTGATATGATTTACAAATTCAACTGTCCATATTGGTGATTCTCACAGCCACACTGGGGTGTCAACAATGTTTCCGCTGGAAACTACTCAGCTGAGATCAAAAGGTGTAATCTGTGAACTAAAAGTCCCATAAACTAGCAAAAGACATGGTGGAAATCATGTTGACACTACAGTTGGGAAGTTGAAAAACTACTCAGCTGTGCAAAATGTGAACGTGAACAGCTCAATTTTTAAATCATTTGCGAAATTATCACCTTATTTAACGTATATAGATCCATCTACGTTAGCTAACCAGATTCAGGTAATCTTAACTTATTCGGCTCTGTGAGCTGGATTTGTCCGGGTACAGTACTGATGAGCTTAGCCCCAAAAGAAAGAATCGGAGGTTCGATGTTTAGATCACCCTTAGCTGTCTGGTGAAACACCGTAGATCAGCGTGAGTGCTTTCTAATCACTCAGGTTGTTTAGCAGTAGTGTCCTTCGCAAGAGTGATAATAGTTTCTCACATAAAACTCTGAGTTGGGGTAATTACTTGTATTTATGTGTGGTGATCATGATTTTCAATGACACAAGAGAACACAATATTCATGAGGTGAGGTCGTACGCCAAATTTTGTATACACATGAACGAGATACTGCTACATTTGAACGACTCTACATTGTAGAACTCCATTAACAACAGAAACTTTATATTTTTTGAAAATCCAGCTGTATACCTTGTTCATATATGAGATCTTAATTACTCGTGGAATAGTTCGTCTTAGCTTGTTGATAATACAACAAAGAAAGAACCTCTAATGCTAACTAAAATGACTTGGATATCAAACTTTTCATGTCATATTACTGTATGCGCTACTAAACGTACCCTGTGAATTATGTATAATGTAAAGGTAAATTCCTTTTAGTTCAAAGTTCATGGGGGTTTACTTATTTCAAAATGGTAGTTTATCGCGGAATAACATTAGTTGTAGAGCCACCGAAAATATAGGATCACTGGAGATCTCTTTGTCTATAATATGGGACTCCTTAGCAGTGAGCACCCAGGACTCCGTCAGGGACTGAACTTACGACATTCACGTTTCACAGCCAACATGTTACCTTTGAGCTAGTTGGTCGGGGTCTAATGGTTTACATTCGCATACTTCCTCACGGCATTCCGTGATGTGGTATGACCTTCGTCCAACATAATCGTACAGTATTTGTCCTCAAATCCGACTTGGTTAAGCCCATCTATCATGGTTTTGCATTACAACTTTAGGAAATTTCATCTTAATGCATGTCAGTGGTTACCAGTCAACAGTAGTTTAATGTTCGTGGGGTTTTGTTTGTTTCTAGGTGGTTTTTATCAAGGACCTGACAGTCCTGAGTTCATTCTGTAATGGGGTCATGGGTGTCCATTTCTGAGGAGCCCCATACTAGGACGACATATCTGTTTAATGTTCCTACCTTTTTTAACGTCTTTTCAGGTGTCATTAAATCAAAGAATACCACCATGAAATTCGTTTTTACTGATCTTTTCAAAGACGAAATTATGGCAAAATCTGGAAAGAAAACGTTTGTCGAAATGCTTAGAGATTTATTCTATTTCTTCTTCAATCCATTAAAGTTACTACTTTTAGCTTAGCACATACGCAGAAACTTGGAATCGGTTCTCCTGAAGTCAACTTCTTCGAATAATCAGCAAACTTGTAAGATCTGTCACTGATGGGTAGAGCCATATTAGCAGAGTTTATGTAAGCATGATGAAGGAAAATTGACTTACACTTTGTGTTGAAAAAACCTTTTTCAGAAATAGTCTATATCTCTTCAGTTAATGACTGATTTCTAAGAAACGTTTAATTTTTGCCCTATTTCAACTTTAAAATGAACACAGTTTAATTATATCCTGAGGGAAAATTAAGATTTACTTAGAAATAATCTAACACGCTAGGCTCAATTAGGCATTCTCCCATGAGTACAACTTTCACTGACAAAAAATTTATTATTTGAACTTGATCCCACTACTTTTTGGAAGATAACCGTTTATTGTCTACTGAGATATGACATGCTTTCTTCGATCTCTCATCGTCAGGATAGGCGACCACATCAACATTTACTTCATAAAGAAGTCAAGCATTTTTAAGTCACACCAATGTTTATGAAGGATATTTAACGATCTTGAACGTCAATGATCTGTCAGTAAGGATGAGGTGTCGGGGGGAGGGGATTCGCCTTCTTTTTCTATCACAAGTGGACCTTTACAAATGCTGTTTTCATTTGACCTGTAATGTTAGTCTAATGTTCGACTATTGATTTGATTGATTGATTACCAGTTGACTGATCTCTTTTCAGTACTTTTTATATTATATCAATGTCTACATGTCTGTTGATTTCCATTTGACTGGAATATCATGCTTCTTGGAATTCTCTGGATGTTTCCCTGCTTGCTTATTGCAGCGTTTTCACGCTGCTCCAATCAAGGTTTTGTTTGTGTTCATCAACATGCATTGATAACGACGATAATGTTTCATATTGTTTACCTGCAAGTTGACTCTCATAAGTTCTGTCGTCTATTTGACGGTTGGACTGGGTAACACATTTATGTTGGTAGTCTTTGCAGCTAACTTTGTAGATTGTATTCGTCTTTTCTCCTTTGGGCAATGGATCCTTTACCTTGCATTACTTGTTCTACAGGGATCTGGTTGCTTTGTATGCCATGGTGATATCAGTTGGAGGCAGCAGTTAGTTGGCAGTTTCTGAGACATCTTTGACGTATAGTAAAGTGATTCGTTTTGTAGGTTATGGTATTTGTCCCGATGCATGTTCTCATGATAAGGATTTCGTGAGGAAGTTGACTGGATGATCATTAGTCCCGAACACTTTGTAATGGTAGTTTTCTTCTGACCACAGTTTTTGAGTTCTGCAATTGTTCTTAGCACCGTTTGAACAGCGTTTGTACATGACTCCTCTTACGAGATGTTGGGTTACTACTATTGTAGTTTGGAACTTGATCTGTGCATCAATTTCCCGTACACTTGAGTCTGAAGGGTTCGATCAAGTTTCTCTACTGATAAGAACGTCTAGGAACGCGTTTTCGTTATTTTCTTATTCTCCTTTTGTGAACCGAATTCTTCCAAAGGTTTACTTAATGAAATTGAACGTGCTTCCCACTTCACTTGTTTTGTTAACTACAAAGCGTCATTGACTCAAAGAATCCAGACTTTTGACTTGATTACTGGAATGAATGCTGATTCTAATCTCTGCGGCAATCAGTCCGTATTTTGATGAGTCCATGAGAGTCTCTTTGTTTTGTTTGTAAATCTTCTCGCTGAATGAAAAGTAGGTCATGAGACAAATGTTGATTAGTTTGACCAATGTTGTAGCAGCTAAAGAATTTCGAGAAAGTTGCTGGTATCCTAGTCAAATGGAAATCAACAGACATGTAGACATTGATATAATATAAAAAGTACTGAAAAGAGATCAGTCAACTGGTAATCAATCAATCAAATCAATAGTCGAACATTAGACTAACATTACAGGTCAAATGAAAACAGCATTTGTAAAGGTCCACTTGTGATAGAAAAAGAAGGCGAATCCCCTCCCCCCGACACCTCATCCTTACTGACAGATCATTGACGTTCAAGGTCGTTAAATATCCTTCATAAACATTGGTGTGACTTAAAAATGCTTGACTTCTTTATGAAGTAAATGTTGATGTGGTCGCCTATCCTGACGATGAGAGATCGAAGAAAGCATGTCATATCTCAGTAGACAATAAACGGTTATCATTCTTCTCCTGAGGTGCAAATTTTCTCTGCGTTATAGATTATTTTATTTATTTGCAGAGGTTTTCAGATTTCAAACCGTTTTGCAGCTCTGCAATTATCAGAAGTATTGCAAAATCCGAAGTTGAATACTTATTTGTTTATTAATATAAAACTGAAAGTCATAGCCTTGTGTTTACAAATGAGTTGAGTGGTTTCAAGCATTTATCCTTTGTCTTCAAAACATTTTTAACATGCATTTTCTTTCAAAATGTCAATAAATGTTGACATAGAGTCTGTAAATGAACACCAATTCACTTCAGTTTGTCTTACACGATTGAACATTGTATATGAAAACCATGAATTACGTTCATAGCGCACAATTACAATCCAGGTAATTATATCTCAAAACGATACTTTGTACTTTTTTCAATGTTTGAAGTCAGTGTTTTTACCGAATCATATGTTTAACTTAATTAATTATGTAGCATCTATCGGTGAAGTGCAATCAAAAGAAGACGTGTGATTGGCAAACAATGGAATTTTATCCTGAGGACAAATATAAAGAAAGTTGATAAAGTGAATGATTGAAGGTGAAATGAAAATTCGGACCCCAGTGGGATTCGAACTAGCAACCACTGCATTTCTGGGTAAAGGCTGAATGAAACCTAGTGGATAATAGTTCTTTTACAAAAACGTCATTTACCATCCGATGATGGTATGAAAATGACCAAAAAATGAAAATCTTCTGTGCTTTAATTTTCAAGTTTCAAGTGACCACTTTTTCTGAATATAAAGGGGGTTTAGAGATACTTAACAGTTTTCACCTCCCTTATAACGAAAAACGGGCCACATGGCTCAATTGGTAGAGCACTGGGCTGAAACCTAGTGGTCGCTGGTTAGAATCCCGCTGCGGTCCAAACTTTTATTTCACTTTCGATCACCTTCCAGTTCCTAATACTAGTTTGCCAAACCACAGATATCTCAGATAGTCAAAATAATAATAATAAAAGTTATTTCATGGTAGTTAACGGTTGCTCATTGTACGCCTGAAAAGCATACAGTATGCATGAATGATTTGCTTAACAATGGAACAATTACATAATGCATGTACATTCTATACGAAAACCTTAAAAGTTTGAGATTAGAATTCTTTGTTTTGTCCCGTCATACTCAAAAATATGTGTTCAAGAGGTTTGAAATCAAAGTAAATAACACCTATGATAGTATAAAGTCATTTTTGGAATGTAATGACTAAACCAGTCTACCAAATAGAGATAAGAAAACAGGTTACATTTCACTGAATACAGATGTATCAATATATGTACCCTGTTAGTAAGTATTTATAGTACATGGTGTAACACATGAGTGGGTCCAGAGAGAATCAACTCTCTCCCATTCTAACTAATTTTCATATTTAGGATGAATGTAAAATTGTCGATAGCAGTTCATATTATTCTTAGGAAGACTGATTTAGCGTATGACTTTTGAACGATCCAATATATTCACTTTAACTTCTTCTACGTAGTTAAGCGGCGGAAATTGAGACATAGGTATTTGGTAAAGTGCATATTTTTCCAAAATGAAGGTAAGTGTTCTTAGTATCATGTGTCGACAGATTGCTAATTTCGCTTACTGACTGCATGATGTTTTCGAATGGAAATGTTTTCCCCCACAAAACCTAGTATATCAAATCAAGATTATCCTTAAGGTTTTTTTTATTTACTGGTGATACTTGAGAGCAGTTACATCAAACTTTCATTTTTAAACATGGCTTTTAAACCAAGTGAAGTTTTCACAGCATATGGAATATAAAATAAGACATTCTCTTCATGTATAATGGTAATATCATTCTCTTACCTTGAGATAGAGAGTATTTATCAATTCAAAAGAATTAGAGCGGAAATCTGTACGTCTTTCTTACCTCCAATTACTAGCATCCCAAAGTATCACATGATCTTGATGTTCAGCAGAAGTAATCTTTATCAAAATTATAACAGTTATTTCCATCAAATCAGTTTTGTGCATTCAAATGCACTCAACTCATAACTTGCTATATTTTAATACATATTTCTAATACTGCACAAATGGACTGCAAATATATATATATATATATATATATATATATATATATATATATATATATATATATATATATATATATATATGCGATCAAATGGAAAATATGTGATTGGTGCAAACAAGTCTACAGTTTCATTGGCTAGTTATCAATTGTAAAATACATTGGATTTAATTTACAAGGATTTAATTAAGTTACTGAAAATACTCATCAGGACATTAGAGGAAATGAAAAGTTCAGCGAAGATACGTATCTTGATGATTCCATTCTTCATAGCTGTACAATCGCAATTTATACACTTTTAATTACAAGGATTACTTAATTAAATCTAGTAACAAAATCGAGTTGAAAGAAAACCTAAAATTCATAGGGCTGATGTTAAATGAAAATCAATAACAAAAGAGCATTTAAATCAACATAACTAACTGGACAGAGTATAAAGTTACTTAATATGTAAAAATAATTCTTGAAATAGAATATGATCAAGGGTAGCATACAAACAAGGTGAAGATGATGCTGGGTTATTAGAATATGTAATACAATATAACAAATTATAACTATTAAGAGATATAGAGAGTTAGATGAATTGTTAGCTATTCATTAAGTTCAGGGTAGCAACAAAATTTGGACAAATTTCCTCTGTACACTTAATTCTACAAATGCGGCAAGAGCTTCTACAGTACATTGGGTGCTGAAATGCACCATTTTTAGCAAATTTCTTTTCCCCTTGTAGATGGTTTTGAACGCTGAATCAATTAAGATACTGTAACTTGTGTGGATGAACTGCTCAATTATTACACTTCTGGTCCATTCACTGGCAACTCTTTGAGGCCAAATGGGGTAATGTTCTCTAACTCCTCTAGAAAGAGCAAGCATCGAACAAACAACATAACTAGCTCCGTAGGAGCAGGTGAACTGATAAGCCCACATGGAAGTGGTCAGATAGGGAAGCTTATCCTTCGGGTTCACAGGAATCATTAAACGACAGGAGAATACAATCTTCAAGGTTAAAGCGAGTTTGAATTCCTTCTGTTCAAGATATCAGCTCTGCAGTCCCGTCCAAACTCAAGACTCATGTATAATATCTTCAGAATTGAAACGGGTATCTCTGTTTGTTGTTTATGTCTGATATTTCTGTCCAAAAATAGCACTGCATAACCAATTTCAGCTGGAACCACTTTGAGAAACATAACAAACACACACACCGTGACTGCCCTCCAGAAGGTTATCATCAGGAGTGAAATCAAAAGCTGCTTCCCTATAGAAAACCACAGTCAGTTTGCATGGAATAGCCGTATTTACCAAGAAAACTTTTAACTTCTTAAATTATCACCGAAAATTATTGAAAAAGATAGCGACATTGATACTAGTACTGAACAGCTTGAGTAGTTATGAGTCAGCCAGGCTGATTGATCTGTAGATTTTATTTAACGGCAAATCCCTGTATATGTACGCATCTTTCAGACAATATCTTAAAGAATAACTGAACAACAGATCAAATAAGTAAACTATGTAATTATCCGCATAGTTTGCAAACTCTTCGTCTGGCGAAAATTTGTACTGAAGATATAAGATCCACATATTAATTTACTAGTATATATTTGAATAGACAATGAATAATTGTAAAAGACTAAATTGTCTCTACTATATCTTTCAGCCTACAAATTTCCTCTCTGAGCAAGTTTGTGGGCATAAATGCCATCCTGGTCCAAACATTATTAAGAATTCTGCGTGAACTTTCCAATCTACCTTGTTACTATGGCAAAACTACAAAGGGATTTGAATTCTCTCTTAGAAAGGCACTTGTAAACTAGTAGTAGTAGTAGTAGTAGTAGTAGTAGTAGTAGTAGTAGTAGTAGTAGTAGCCTCTTTAATGTGTTTCAGTTCCTTAACTAGGTTTTCTGACCTACTAATCAAACTCCTAGCCCGAATACTCAGACATGTTATCAAGCCTGCACTGAGAGATATAGGGTGAGATGATGTGAAATTCAAGTATCCATGTAAATGGGTTGGTTTCCTATATACACTGATATCTAGGATTCCTTTTCTTCTCCTCTTGATTATTGCAATCCATTAAAAGAGTAGTTTATGCCTGAATTAGGTAGTTGGGACAAAAATCAGGAAGTTTAATTAGAAGACGAAGTTTATCTGAACAATATGATGCATTTGTGCAATACATAAAGAACATTTTGATGACACATTCACTTGTCAAATCAATTTGTATTACGCTGGAGAGTGGAAGGACAAGTATAATAAATACGATAATAGGGGATTAAAAGTAAGAAAGATGAGAACGAAAGGGAGTAGTGACATAGTTGATTCTAATCTTGGTAAGAAAACAAAGAATACCAAGGTAGGTGTAGTCTAAGAACAAACTGTTTTTGTACACTTAAAGGTGTTTTCAGTTTATGTCTGCTTATCGCTTCCACAAATCTCAGTATGCACCTCTGAGTGTTTCTACATAAAACGTTGAAAGCGGCTTGAACATCAACTTAGTGACCTGTTTCTTTAATACATTTAGCTATAGATAACAAGGGTCGTCTCCCGCTAGTGTTTATGAAGATTTCACACTCCATTTGTTTTCAAAACCATTTAAGCATACGTTCTCCCACCCTCAACTGCATGGCCTATGAATGCGCGACCACACACGTTGTAAGTTGGTAAATACAATGGGATGTGACATAATCATTGATGCAGTGTTTAGGTTTGTGGAGAAGCATATGTTTTGTTTTTTCCACGGTGATGACATTAACTGCGTAATATGTATTCTTAATGGCTGGTGTTAGCTTATGTCTCAAAATTGTTCTATTCACCTACCCTCTGTATGGTAATGTGTATTTCACAAATATATCAGCTTGCTCAAATAAACATCGTCTTCTAATTACACTATTTAAATTCATAGAACGGAATAACGGTTTCAAAAATCAGAAAGACTTGTACTGACTAGACCTATGATAGGGAAGTAAAGTTTCATCAATTACTGCTGATGTCTAACTGGAAATAAAAATGGCTCTTTGTACATTGAAAATTCCCATTTGGACATTTATAAAAAAGGACTGATTCAGCGAAGAAATATATTCTTTCCAACTAAGTCTCCGTCTTCACCTCTACACTACTATTTATATAAGTTTGCATTTAATATCAAAACACGAGTCAACTAATGGGAGAGTTGATTAACAATAATTATTGATTTTAATTAAGTCGTGAAGAAGATAAGTGAGAAATCAAAGTAATAATACGCGATGAAAAATGGTAGCAATAGTAATAATAATTTGAAACAGGCTCTTGTTAGGCGAATTCCATAGTAACCGGTAAAAGAGAGTGGTTTTTCTTCCGACTGGTCAGCCATAAGCAATAAATAACTACGTAAGAATAAGAAAGCATATGAATATTGATAGAAGCATGGGGGAAGAGGAGTATATTATAGTAGTACTAAACGTTACGTCACGCCGATGTACAGACTTCTATAAGCGGTTGAACAAACTTCTTGTGTATACAAAGGTTAGGTTTGTAAAGGTGGATTACAATCACCTCAGCTTTGTGTAGTAGACAAATGCGTAATCCATATGGTAAATCAACAGATACATGATGAATAATTTTGGGTACTTTACTAGTATCCACTTGATGTTCCGTGTCAACTAAGTGAGAAGTTATAGAGCACTTTATTGTCCTAATCTGTCCCCAGAAAAGTTGTGTATGATAAGGGATTGGACTTTTGAAACCACAGAACTAATTCTAAAACATGTGTACTGAAATGTTGAGCATTGAATGATACAAAATTAAACTGAATACACTTATTGAAATAATTTAACAAAGGAAATCCTTTTTTCAAGGAATTTATTTCAACAAGCTGCACAATCTTCTGTATATTTCTGTATGTGCTCTTGACGAGATATAATGATAGTGAGCTCTAATTAACTTTGTTGTGACTAGTACTGGAACTTAGGATGCGCGTCTCGCCCGGTTAGGGAGTCGTCAGCTGGATATACCTGCACCTCCATGAGTGTTGTTGTTCCTACTGAAACCCGAACCCTGTATCCATCGCTTCAAACGCCAAAACGTCATCCACTAAACCAATAAGGCACAATAACCCCCCACTGTGAGTTCTGTTTAAAAGTCGACACATAATTTAGTCATTAGTGTAAACATTTTGAGAAGTCTATAGAAATAAACAGAAACATCTCGAAAGGTATCATCTGTATGATACGAGTGTTAATCATTAATTTAAGGGAACAAGGTAGCAGTAAGTAACAACATTCTAATAAGACAGGCTTAAAATAAATCTGCGCGATCTAAATGATGATCAAGAAATGAAAACAGAGCAAAAACATACTACTAACAACAACAATGTGAAACAAAATACATTTAAAGTAGAATAAAACTGGAAACATGTGAGATAACCTGACATGAGAGTAATCAAGGTTCAAGATATTCATGTATTCTGCGACATTCAGCTTCAACTTTCTGATTTCATATTCATTATCATTTTGTCTATCTCAGATAGCCGTGGTTTGGTAGACTAGTGTTGATATTGGGTGATGATTGAAAGTGAAATGGAAATCGGGACCACAGACGAACTCGAACCAGAGAACTTCTCAAATTACCATAATTACATCTTGTCAACAACAAACGCATATACATTGATTGAAAAAGTTTTATGCGTATAAGATTGTACAGCTTTTAAGAATGACAGAAATGAAGATTCTCCCAAGAAATATATATTGAAATATTTAGACTATTGAAACACAATACCCGAATGACTTCGCGTATCTTGAAATTTATAGAAGTAAATCACTTGTGGATTCCCCAGTTTTTCGAAAACATTATATATGTCATTCTCTCATTCAGTTCCATAATAGATGGGTTAAAAATAGTTGGTTATGTTACTCAAAAGCAGCGTTTATAAATGTGATAGCCATTAAAACCAAAACATCAAAATTTTTCGCTA